TTGGCCTTTACTTTCCACATCCTCTCTAGTTCCTCCTTCAGGCCCTGGTACTTCTCCAGCTGTGTGTGTGTGCTATTTTTTTAAATATTTGTTTTAATTATTTATAAGCTGCCGTGTCATATATATGAGATGTGCAGCTACATAAATTTGACATCATTGCAACCGAAATAAAGGTGGCTTAGATGATGTCATGTCCATGTGGAACTGCTCTGTGAGGCTGTTCTGAGGAAATGTTGAAAGTTGGATCAGATGCTAGAGGGTACCAGGGTTAGACCTAAAGATGACAATATTGGGCTTCTCTGAATCTCCTTGGTCTAAACCTGAATGGAAGAGTCAAATATGCTGTCTGCTTGTTTGTGATTCTGTTTCCTACATTGGGAAAGTTCTCTTGCTTATTAGATACAGTATATAAAATATGGTTTCATGTGACTTTCCTGAAATCAACAATGCTTCCTTTCAGCAGCCAGCTCAATTAGCCTGTTTTCTTGGTGAAGTGTGACCTTTGCAAAAAGGGGCTGGCCGTGCCTCCCAAGGATCTTCAACATCTGTATATAATGTGGTCAAGAGAAGGCAGCTAATGTGACCATTTGTTTTTATGTGCTGAAGAATCCTGGTTATCTTGAATGGCAGGGGAAAGGACAGAGATGCCCCTTTGGCTATGAAACACGGAACGGCTTCCGCTTTTTAGCACACCTTAGGCCTAATTTAATTTTTTTGAGATGTCAAATGTAGGTAGAGAACATGAAAGACTGACTAGTGATGGTCTAGAGCTCAAAATGTTGCCAACTGAAAGAACCTGTTTGTTTATAGTCTTGGCTGAGCTAAGCCTGAAAGAAGGCTCTTGTCAGCCCCAGTAGTTAGACCAGACCAGGAAATCAACCCCACATGAAGGCTAAAACCACTTTTATTGAGATTTCAGATACACTTCCCATTCTTACTTCAATGTGTTTGTTTTTATTTTTTTTGGCTTGGAACAGTTGTCTTCAATTAAAATTTGCTGTACTTCCCACCCCTCCTATCTCCAGCATCCCCATCTTCCACCCTAACCCTGCCTGACTGTTCCTCATCTGTAGATCTCCTCAGTCTAACAATCTAATCTCTTAGATCTGTTAGATCTTCCTCCCTTGTGCTGTCTTCTCAGTCCATGGCTAGCCATTCACCTGCTTAAAGACTGCAGTTTTTCCCATTTCAAAACAAAACAAATCTTTTAATTAAACATTAACTATATTAACATTAATGTAATAATATATTCTCTCTTTAGTAATAGGAGGCATGATGCTGAGTCTGCTTCACTGCTATATTATCCTCTATATGGCTGTTCCAAAAGAACAAAAACTTCCCAACCCATATAGTAGCACTTTTTGTCACCCAAGGAGACTCCAATACTAAAAGAATGATACTGCCCTCTACTGAATAAAAAATGTGCAGCTGAGAGAAATTTTGATATGACAAGGCCTATAATATTTAAAAACAGCAAAATGAAACAGCACAATAAAAATAAAACAAAAAGTGCTCCCACCCACTTTGGCCCTGGCCTTGCTCACTTTTAGAGTGTGGCCCTCCACACACTGCTCAGTTGTACACTCTAGGCTTGGAGAGTTATAAAACCAGTGAATTGTTTTATGGTCTTTTGGTGGTAGTGTGATGTGTGGAGCTTGTCAGTCTTGGATAGGTTCAGGTGGGTCAGCTGTAGAAATGCAGACTGGAGTACCCGCTCTCTAGGTATAGATGGCAACTACCAGCATCATTATGTGGGGAAGTCCTCTGGGGATGGGAAGAGCCCGCACTGACAAGTAGGGGTGATCCCTGTGATGCTGGCCAATGGCTACATGGCATTACATGGAAGGTGCCAGCAGGATAATTCAATTTATTCTGCTATCTGCAGCATTCCAGCCCTTTTTAAAATGCAAGAAAGATTCCTTTAAGAATCATGTTTTCATTTATTATTTTCTATAATACAGAGATCTTTTGTAAACACTTTCCTTAATAATGTTTTTAATGTTAACTTTCCAAGAATCTTCTTAAGTGGACTTACCTGGCTTTGTTCTTTTTAAAATCAATTTCCCTGATATAAACTATCCTTTAAAATAAACAAAAGACAACTTCTGTCACGTAATTGCAGATAATTTAGAGGCCTGTTTGGGGCATTTACACACACCAGAACTGCTTTCCTAAGTGGCAAACACGGATGCTGCAAATAATTATTCTTTTCATGTTTGCCCTATAGATAATCTGTCTCATTCATTAGACAAGTTTATATAAATGTTCATTATGATAAAGAAATTGCGCTCCTAGAATTTCATTTTGGATCTTCTGCCATAAAGGCAGAAGACTACTGATTTCTAATCCAAACCTAATGCCAGCTATTGTGGCACTTCCAATGCCAAGTAGCACATAACCTATCTGCTTATTGGCTCTATCAAGCATTAAGCAATCTAAACAAACTCATTCAATTTAGTCCTTTGATTACAACTCTATATTGTATTAACAAATTTAATAGCATACAGTATTTTTAATTTCCATGCTGTACTCTTGGATAATTTTAGTCTATTTTTTTAAATCACCATATTAACCCCTTAATTATTTCAGTTAGAACTCTAGGGAATCTACGTGAACTGGTTGCACCTGTTGGGAGCTGACAAGTGAGACCAATACTGAGAGAAATTATCCAGCCTTTCAATACAGGATCAGGGTAGTTTTGAGCTTAGAAGAGCATTTTGAACAGCTGTGATGATCTCAAAACTTTAGGTTTTCTTACCAAGGTAAGACACGGCTATTTAATTATTTATTGTTATTTATTATAATTTATAAAAGCCGCTCACTCCACATGCAGTTCAGACATAAAGGGGATACAACTGGTGTATAAAAATGATCTTGGATGGGATCAGGATCTGACTCTTCCGATTCAGAAACTCTATGGTCTAAGGTGTGACATTTGAACGGGCCTACACAATGCTTTGTCTTGTGTGCCTGGATCCCTGCTCTTTGTGGTGCTGGAATTTGGGAAGGCAAGCAGAGCTTATATACAGCAAGCTTTCTGAAAAATTTAATGTTTTTTCTAAAGAGTGATTTACGTTGTACTGCAACCTAAAACTGTGGTCTCTGGCCAGAGTGCATAAACAATCATTAACCAACAGAAGTAGTTGGAGTTTTAAAAAGTACCCAAAATAAGAATTAATCTATTTTACATTTACCCAACAGATAATTGTTACTGCTATTGATTATTCTGTCAAGTAGACAGAGTCTTAAAGCCGAAGCAACAGATACAATGGTGCTTAAAAAATACGTAGCTTTGGATTGTTTTCCTCAGCCATACCTCGTTTTATTGCACTTCACTTTATTTCACCTTGCAGATATTGTGTTTTTTTTACAAGACCCTCCACTAGCAAATAGATTATGACTCACTGAAGGCTCAGATGATTATTAGCATTTTTTAGCAATAAAGTATTTTTTAATTAAGGTATGTACAGTTTTTTTAGACATAATGCTACTGCACACTTAATAGACTACAGTATAGTCTATTTTTATATGCACTGGGAAACCAAAAATTTGTGTGACTTGCTTTATTGCAATATTCACTTTATTTCAGTCTAGAACTGAACCCACAATATCACTGAGGTATGCCTGTATAATGTTTCTCACTCATTTGTTTAATTGGGTTCTCCTTCTCTTCTTTTAGGACTTGTGTGGAGAACAGATCACATTTTAGGTCATATTTATGCAGAAGTACTGAAAGTTCAGAAGGGTTCACAAACACTTTACATTTGATTCAGTTTATTTAGTGAAGCCCAAGGGAATTTTGCCAATACCACTGCTAAGAAGAACTAGCAGGCCCAAATTGAGTAAGTCATACATTTATATGCCTAATTATGTTTATTTTCCTTATACCATTCAATCTTCTTATGCCCAACACATAATGACCCAAACATTCTGTAATTTTTCCCCCTTTCTTTATGAATATAGGGTACAGGTTACATATCGAAAGACCCATTCATCATTGTTTTTCCATGAGAATCTTTAAAACAAGAATTAGGCAAAATATAGGTCTACCAAAGGTCAAAAAAGAAACTGCAATTCCAGATACTTTTAAATCTCATAGTGCTTAATTTTCACTGGTTCTGTATCTGGATCCCCTTTGTTCTCCAAATTTAGGTACCCATAAGGATACTGTTTTGGTGCCTGAAATGAAAGGAGACAGCAAAAATAAATTAATAACATGGTATGCTTAAAATATAGAATCTCACACCAGAAGGTGCAAATAATCTATTCTATTAAGTAAACAAACAAAGAGCAGAATTCGATCTGGTACTACTTATCCAGTCAGTGTTCTCTTAGGCATATCACGGCAGCCAACTATATTCTTTCTCCTTTAATAAACAATTATTGCCTGCTCAGAGACTTGATGTGGAAGAGGAGGATCCCTTCTTCACAGAGCACAGCCTTGCCCACATATCCCTGATCAACAGGAAAGAGATCCTACAAACAACCCCAGGGCACAGACTTCACTGAGAATGCTGGAGAGTGAAGAAGGCTCTGACCTCAAGTCCCCAGTAGCAACCCTGACATATTCAACATTAGGTTAGGTGTCCTGGATGCGCAAACAAAATTCCTTGGAGAGAAAGTCTGTTTACACAAGAGACAGTTGGGTATGAATGGTGAACATAAACTGTTGCTCTGAGTAAGAGAAATCCTGAGGCAAGATTCGAGCAAGTTGGATGTGTATGAACTTTCTACGTGGGGCAGAAGCGCCTGGGCTACTTTGGGCTGTAGCACTGCATCAAAAGACAATGACAACTTTAAAATCATGCAGAGATTATAATTTTTAAAAGAGCACTAAATAAAGTAAGTATGAAATAGTACACATTATCTCCAAGGTTCAAGATCTAAAAAATCCAAGAAACTACCCATTATTCCTCCTGGCAGTAAAAGTTTTTCATCCAAAGAGGCAGGATACTTTCCATCTACTACAGAAAGAAACTTATACTGGTAATTCCAATGTTCTATTTCCCCACTGGTAAAGAAAACATCCTTGGATTGAATGTCAAGAAAAGGTTCCAAATTAAAAAATGAGTTTTTTTCAAACCAAAGTCACTTAACTCTTATGTGCAAATTAAAAAAAAAAAAAGGCAAAGGACAACTAGCATCTGATCTCAAAGAGAACAAAAATTCAGCTAGTAAATATTTTGCTCTGGAAATGGTATTCAGATGAGAGATTTGGTTTCTGGGACCACACTCTGAGTTGTCTGGATGGACTTGCTATGCTCAGACTTAGTGTCATATGCCAGAATCTTTTAAGAATCAATCGGGTGACCACCAGTGAGGTGAACGTTGCCCACAATGGGCATACTAGGTTAACTGCTTTAGCTCCACTTGGAAAGGAGCTCCTCCCCTTTTTTAAAACTGGGAAGGGATCTGTGTTGAATAATGTCCGCCTATCTCTCTCTCTTTTAACAACAGCAGCTCTTCTTGAATGGATTAAATCTTATGCACTCATATAAAACAAAAAACAAACACCCCCCACAACTGAAGAAATAAGTAATGCTAGCTTCTACCACTGTCCTGGCCCTTGGAGCTACACATGACTCAAACTAGGAGGGATTCTGAGATTCTGGTTAAAAAATGCTTTTAATAGGTGAGCATTTCCCTTTCCTGAATTGTATGAGGCACTAGAATTTTGGCAGGAACTTTTGCAAATCACCCCAACAGAGATTCAAGTTCTCTTGACAGAATGTAGATTCAGAACTTACCGCAGGTTGGTATACTGGAAATATTTCACCTAGATAAGACATGACTAATATGATTCCAAGAAACCCCCAGAAATAAATCTTCATGATGTGCCAGGAAACAGGGGTGGGGGACGTATCAACGCGTGTCCGTACAAACAAATCAAAGTTCCGGTGGACCTGATTAAAAGAAGACAGGAAGAACCAAAATTAAATATTGCAGTAACAGCCTATCATTACACTGATTTCTCTTGTAGCAATTGTTAAAATAAAAGAGTACTTCCATATAATTACTGCTGATATTATTATTAATTGGTAGTTCTCAGTAGAAAAACCCAGTCAGCTCATTTCACTTATTATAAAACCTCTCCCTGAATTCTGAAGAAAACTGATCGATAAGCAAAGTTTCTAAAGTTGGTCCCAATAAATGAAATAGAACAGGTAAGCTGAAATTTAGTTTGGCAAAATATTTGTCAAATATAAAGACTATTCGATTTTTCAAAATATACTAGAACAGCATATTGAAGATATCTCTTTTCCGTGTTTTTTCTGAGGCAAAATATAGTGGCCTGATAGCTGGCCAATAAAGAACTGTTAGTCAAGTTTAACAAGGGTACAGTATTATTTATTCATTTTCAGGACACAAAAATACCATCAAAGCCAGAAAAAGTGAGGATTTCAGTGCTGATGTATACTTACAGTATACTGGGGAAACAAGGACAGAGAATATGCTTGAGTGTTAGACTCACAGAAGGATTTTTTTGGTACTTGCTACCAAACATACTATAGCACTTAGATATTCCATTATTAATTGCTTTTGTAATATGTGATTCTGGACTACAAACTGAATTGAAAGATAGGTAGCCACAAAATTTATTATTTTTCTTACTGGTTCTCCAAAATTGCGCCTCAGGTCAGGTTGATCCCACTCATACCAAGGATTTCTTTCATGTAAGGATTGGTCTGGGAGTTTGGGATAGTCACCATAACTGTGGAAAATATGAGAACAGATGCTCTAGACCAAGGGCAAGCAATCCATGGACCCATGTTGCTCCTAAATCTTTTCAGTGCTTAAATAAATAAAAAAAAACATTACAATTTCTTATTGGTTTAAAATAAGAAGAAAAATAAACTTCTCTTTGCTAAACTTGAAAAACTGGAGAAGAGGGCTGAAAATGATGGCGAATCCTCCCGGTGACGTATCACATTACCGTGTTCCTTTATCTCCTGGAGGTTCAACTACTTATTTTTTTTAAGCATGGGGACCTGGTCACAAACATGTTGCCTATCCCTACTCTAGACAAAATAACTGCCAGATGAATTCAGTCCAGAAGAACAATAGAGGAGAAACTAAGGGATGTCTCTACCACCAAACTAGTATACATTTTTTTCACCCTTTTCCTCCTTAGATTGCAAATTAAGCATGATATAATCTTGTTCCAACATGACAAGAAATACAATTGTTCATCAATGATGTACAGGACATTTTATCACTTGATGGAAACAGAAGAAATTTAACATTTTTATTTTTGAAATCACAAGGCTAGAATGGACCCTAGCTTACTTCTAAGGCAAAGGCAAGCAAGCCATACTGATTAATACACTATTGTTGCAAATGCTTGGTGAGGTGAACAGGACCTTCCACGATTTAGATCAGCATGCCTGGAATTTGTATCACTGGAAATATTACACAAACTGCTAAGTACAGATTTATATTTTTGATTTAAATATTTTTGTAGTTGGGATTCCTGTCTCCCTTTCAAACTTAAATCTGCCTATAATCTAGAGATGTATTTTTTAAAAGATTTTATTCATCTCCCAATGAATGTCCACTATGAAAGTCATTTATTATTATGAGGCTATGAATAAGAAGCACGTAGATGCAAACACTCCACAATCCCTGATATCAATACATCTGTTCCCTATCTTTGCATAACATTTGGTTTCTCAGATGTACAAATACAGCTCACCCTACACCATCGTCTGCATACGTCTTGTAGTCCTCCAATGTCAGGTTGTATTTCTTTGCAGCAGCTGCCTGCTCTCCTGGAGTCTTGGGGTAAGACCCTGGAAGCAGATGTCTGGGCAGATCTGAAGCTAAAAGCAGAAACATCAATAAACTCAAAGATGGTGTAGGGAAAACTGCAGATGATAAAGTCTGGATTACTGACTACATGAACAAGATAGTGTGGAATAAAAACCTATAAAGACATTTAATCTGTATTAATAGAAGATATGAATCCACTATTTAACATCATCTTAGAGCAAAACCAGATGGGACATTTAAGACTGGTCTGAAAATGATAGTGTCACATCGAGGTTACTTTTTATATAATTTTTATTTAAAAAACTACAGAAACTTAAAGAAAAAAGTAGAAAAAAGATGTAAAAAGATAAAAGATAAAGTGAGAAACGGCTAGAAAAAAAAAATCTAAAGAAGCAACTTCCGATCTTCTTTGAAGCAGTTACTAGCAAGATTATTACCATTTCCACCCTCCCAAATTACATATCTTGGTTCCCTTCTTCCCATAAACCACCTTTTTTAATTAGTAAATCCTGAAATCACCAATTCACTTTTGTCCATTTTCAGCAAAATTACATAAAATATTTCCAGTCTTTTATAAAAGTTATTGTTGTTCCTTCCCTAATCAAACAAGTCAACTTAGCCATTTCAGCAACTTCTGTCATCTCCACAGTCCAGTCCCTCACTGCGGGTCTTTCTGGATGTTGTCATGACCTCTTTGTTCTGACTACCTGTCTGTGCACCTCCTGCTAAACTAACTGCGGTTTGTGCCAGTGAGGGGCTTTACAGCAACCCCTACTTCTATTACACGCCAACGCCATTCCAAACCGATTCCTCCTACATTTGTCAAGCACACAATTTGTTCCGGTCCCGCGTCTTGACGCCTTTGCAGTGGCAAACCAGCGGCCTCGTCCTCCCGGCACGCGAGGCGCTTCTGCAGCCGACAGAGCCCCGCAAGGCGTGGCGCCC